TGGTTTAACTTATATATTTTGCAGGAAGTAGAATACTTTAAGCAGTTAATCACAGAAAGTTGTGTTAAGTTTTGTCAAAGTCAGTGATTTTGGGTGTTTGCATGTTTTTCGAAATACCTTGGTCAATTTCGGTATTTATTGTGAACTGAATGATTGTAAGGTTTGTGTTAGTGTTAATTAACTTTATTGACGTTGTATAAATTAACTTGAGTTGGCAATCTGATACACTTTACAGTTATATAATTTAATCGAGTGCTAAGAGTATGTTTCAATCAGTTATTTTTTCATTCAATTGATATTTTTGCTTTATTCGAAAAATTATTAAAAAATTCCATTACATTCATTGTGAGATATCCCCAGTTTCCTATTTTCCATTTCCTGATTCTAACATTGATTTTGATTGTATTTGAATTAAGTGCTTTGCAAATTCTTAGAACCACTTTTGATCTGGAAGTAAGTATCTAAAATCCCGAAATCTACGCAGTACCAAAGCAAACAGGAACAACATTACTCTGTCCTAATTCCAGAATTTTACGATAAAATCGACTTTCAATTACTTTTTGATTAAACTGAGAAATTGTTCGCGTGTGTTTGGATCATCGCGGAAAATGCCCAGCATACAACTGGTTGATGTAATGGCATTTATCTTCTGAACTCCACGCATTACCATGCACATGTGACTGGAACAATTTATTATTAATAATATGCTTAAATAACACATCATAAGAGAGTCAAGTTTTATATTAATAATTTGATAATTTCAAGGGATAAAATCAGTGAATTTAATAAAACTATATTTAATGAGAATTTAATTTAATAAAGCCATGTTTTTAATAACATGTGCGCCAGTGTTTTCAAAAAGTACATGAACTCAAAGTTTAAATAACAAATCTTTAAGGACTATAACAGGTTGCAAAAACTTACGAAGCTTCAATGACAACTGCGACGCCTTTTGGTTGCGCAGCCTGAAGCACCGCTGTGGCTATTTGCTTTGTAAGTCGTTCTTGTACTTCAAAATCAAATAATTCTAATTTTCAGTTTCACTCTTGCACAAAATTATTTTTATTAATTAATTGAAGCGATTAACTGAATAATTAAAAGTAATTACGCAGTGATCTAAGTACTAAATGTAATCTAAGCTGTAAACTGCATATCGAGTAAGAATTCAATGAACAGTGATGATATTCAAAAATAAAAATAATTATTAAATCATACTGGAGTCTTAAAACTTTTTAATCTTAAGTTGCTTTTGCAAATTACCTTGTAATCTTCTGCAAAACATTTCCACTATTCTGGCCAGTTTGCTAACTCCCAAAACTTTCTTACTTGGTAAGTATCCAATGTGTACCTTACCAAAAAAGGGGACTAAATGATGCTCGCAAAGAGAAAACATTTCAATTTCCTTCACAATGATCATCTCGTCGTGATCTTCATCGAAAATTGCTTCATTAAGAACATCTGAAAATGAAACATAATTATGCTGACTAGAATACTTCACGTGGCTTCCTTTATTGCAATGTTTTGTATTTCTTAAAAGTATATTTTATTGCTTTGAATTTATGTTATTTTTCATTTAAACTTTTAGCAGGTATTATACATTTTTTCATTTTTAAAAGTGACAACATTTATACAAACTTGTTGTTGACTGTTGCGAAGCAAATACAGTTTTATAAGATACCATCTAAATTTTGCTCGTATCCTTTGGTGAAGTATAACATTGCCTTAGCGGCCCTTTCAGGGGTTTTCAACAAGCCTTGTCGTTCTACGTCTTCTCCAATATGACTAATAATGGACTTATATGCTTGAATCATATCATTCAAATGACATTCTTTACTTTGCTCTTCATCTTCAAAATTCTGCAAGATTAGCTAACATCTTTATAACTTCTTAACAAAGCAGTTTATTGCTGACTTTTGTATACTAACAATAATATTATATTTACTTGTTTTTTATCAGTTGAAATAGTCGCATTTGATTGAGTGTGCGATTTCATATGTTGCGAATTATGGTCATCATTGAAAGAACTATTTGATTCTATGCCACTGCTACTTTGCTGATCCATCCTGCAGAAAATTATTACATTTATCCACATAATTATTCAGTTATTACTAAATCTTCACAATAACAAAGACAAAATATTTCGTTGGATTTAACAGTGCCATAAAATTATTATATTGATGGTATGATTATGTTTCCATTCTACCTTCTTGTTTACTTCTGAAGTTCAAAATCAAAGATCAATTAAAGATTCTCAGTAATAGTAGAAATGATAGTAAATTAAATCTATCAGAACTGTTAAAATTA